ATTGGTTTTGCTTTTTATACTGCTGTAACAATGTAAATTTCCCCACTGCGGGATTAATAAAGGAATATCTTATCTTATCTTATCTTATACTGCTCTTTTATCAAGTCAAGCTGATCTCTTTCTTAGACTGTATCACAGAAGTCAACAAATGGCTCTCTGACAATCTGCTACTCCTTAACTGAGACAAGACAGAAACTCTGATCCTGGCACCTGAAAATAAGATCCGTCAGATAAAAGAACTGGGCTCTCTGGGGCTGACTGTTAAAATGAACATGCGAAATCTGGGAGTCAGTTTTGATTCAGACCTGTCACTAGATAAAAACGTCAAAAATCTAGTTACCTCATGCTATTTTCAACTCTGTAATATTTCTAAACTTCGCCCCCTCCTGCCTGCCTCTGACCTGGAAATGGTAATCCATGTTTTTATCTCAACCCGTCTCGACTACTGTAACAACCTGTTCACCTGCTTGAATCAGAAATAATTAAACTGGCTTCAACTTGTTCAAAACTCTGCTGCTAGACTTCTAACTAGAACATCCAAATTCTCTCACATCACCCTTGTATCATCAGACCTCCAGTGACTACCTGTACACTTCAGACTCAAGTTCAAAATCCTGGTTCTCACTTTTAGAGCTCTACACGGCCAAGCACCGAACTACATCTCCGGTCTTCTCTCGCCTTATAACCCCAAACACATCCTGCGCTCACAAGACCAGAATCTTCTGTTGGTCCACCGTACTCGCTTCAAGACCCCTGGTGACTGTGCCTTTTCCTCAACAGCTCCCAGACTGTGGAACTCCCTTCTGCCCTATAAGATCTGCTGAAAACACTGACTCCTTTAAAAAACAACTAAAACACACCTCTTCACTCAAACATTCAACTGAATATATTCAACACCTCACAACTTGATTTCATAAGCCCTGACATCATCAACAATCGTGTGTGTCTAGCATCCATCCCCTCCACCCATAAGGGTGAGAGATAAATTGATCTCCTTTTGTTTTTGTTTTAAATATTGAATGTATTGAATGTATAATTTTTACAGTTAATGTGATTTTTTTGCTTTCTCTTTCTGATAATGGATGTACAGCATCTTGTAAAATCCTTTTCTGTGAAAGGCGCTATATAAATAAACTTTTACTTACTTACTTTGTAACACAAACATCTCACTCAACATCCTGTCAGTTTATTCAGAGGAAAATGACTGGAAGGATTTATAAAAGCAGCTGAAACAGGAACAGTTCTGAGATGTGAAGTGAACCTTTGAGGTTTTCACAGACGTACCACAATGAAGCGTCAAAGAACACTGACGTGTGATTAAGGACCTCTCCACTTGGAAATTATTTTAATATATACATACAAGTTTGATGTGGAAGATGTTTTATTTTAAATAAAAAATAAAACAATTTTAACGTAACATTTCATACAATTTACGGAGATTTGACCTCTGGTAATATAAACAGTCTATGTTTCTGACTAGGGCTGCATGTATAGGGT